AAAAAAAAAAAAAAAAAAAAAAAAAAAAGGAAGTGATAATTTAAGTAGAAATGTTACAAAACCCAAAACCTTTTCTGCTATTTTATTTCAGCTGTGGTTATACAGTATAGTCAGTTGTATATTGTCTGTTTTTGTAGTTACCATCTCAACTCTATTCTTTAATTATATGTATTTTTGCTTTTGTTGCTAAGCCATAAATGCCATCTTTGAGCTAAAATTTCTGAGTAGAGTTTCTCAATATGCAAAATTCTACATCTCTTTGTTTTAAAAAATATTAAATATCAAATATATAAAGCAAGTAATAGAGTTCTTTATTCTCTTACATCATTTGTGACTAATTTTTGTATACCTTCATACAAAAGTTGGAATGTGGGAATGCTGAGACAGCACACACAATGATTTCTGTAGCATAAGAAATAGGTTTAGATGTTGAGCATTGTACATGAATTTTCACACTGTAGTTTCCTTTAAGACTTTTCCATAACAGTAAATGTATTTTACTAACAACCTTTCAGATCTGTTATTCAGGCATCACCACATGAGTTCCTAAGTATATTGTCAATGCTAGTTTCCTAACATCAACAATATTACAGTTTGTAATTTCTGTGGAGCTGAACTTTGGTGTTACAAGTCAGATCAGATAACTGATCCTGTCTACAAGCCTTATAAAAAGCTTCCTCAGGAGCCCTCAAATGCATTTACAGCTGTTGTGTCCTTCAATGAGTTACTTCACATACTGGTGAGACTACAGCAATAGCAACATACAATTCAGCACTGGCTAGGTGTCCTGGTGTTTACTAAGAAGTTAAAAGTGTAATCTAGTCCAGACTGGGCCTTGTCCTGGTGAATACTTCCCTGATATTTCATTGGCTCAGATTTAACCTTTGGCACTTCTTAGAATAAAACGGATTCCCTGTCTCTCCACTAGTCCTAGGAGGTGCTAGACAAATACATCAGTCTAATCAACCATCTTTGATCTGGTTAAAATTAGATGAGGTGAATCCCACTCCAACTCTTAAGTGTGCAGAAAAAAACCCCTCACATCAGATTCCCCTGCTCTCATGGCATCATAGGATAATTCAGGTTTGAACAGACCTCAGGAGGTCTCTGGTCCAATCTCCTGTTCAAGGCAGGGTCAACTGGGGTCAGACCAGATAACTCGGGACTTAATCCCATTATGTTATTGAAAACTTTGCAGTAAATATTATAGGTAGGTTAAAAAGTATAAATACAAACTTGTGTTTCTCATGGCTAGATCTAATTTTTTCTATTTAATGTAGTTTACAGGAATCTGTGACCCAGCTGTTGCAGGAAGCCAAACGTCTTAGTGTAGAACTGGAACAACAACAACATAAACTGGAAAAAGCAGAACAGTTTCCAGAAGAATGCTCCAGAGAAATTTCCCAACTAAGGCAGCAGCTTCTTAGTTGCCAAAATGAATATGATGCTATTAAAGATAGAAAGCATGAACTTCAGTTCAAGATGGAATGGTAGGTGATAGTGATCAAATGCTGCTAATTTTACCACAGCTTATCTAGAAAAATAATATCGTAGAATCTGATTCACACTTCTCTCCATTTTACGTGGACACATTTCTTGATGGCTGTTGTTAAACAAGTTGCCACAAAATGGCCCTGGTGAGACCTCAGATGGAGTATTGTGTCCAGTTCTGGGCTCCCCAGTTCAAGAGGGACAGGGATCCACTTGAGAGAGTCCAATGAAGGGCTACAAGGATGGTTAAGGGACTGGAACACCTGCCTTAGGAGGAAAAGCTGAGAGACCTGGGGCTTTTCAGTCTAGAGAGGAGAAGGCTGAGAAGGGATCTAATTAATGTCTAATTAATACATGAGGGCATCAAGAAGGCAGGGACAAGCTCTTTTCACTTGTGCCCTGTGATAGGATGAGGGACAATAGATTCAAACTCAAGCACAGGAAGTTCCACCTTAATATGAAGAAGAACTTCTTTATTGTGAGGGTTACAGAGCACTGGAACAGGCTCCCCAGAGAGGTTGTGGAGTGTCCTCTGGCGACTTTCAAGACCTGCCTTTCTGAGTGATCTGCCCTAGTTTTTTTTTGGTCCTGCTCAGGCAGAGGGGTTGGACTTGATGATCTTCGGAGGTCCCTTCCAACCCCTAATATTCTGTGATTCTGTGAAAATTTCCCTATTAACAGCCACATTTCAGTGATGAATAAAATTACCCTGGTCCAAGATTTGTAGATAGTTTTAGAGCATACTGTGGTGCCCTTTGAAATGCTGTTTAAATTTTACTACATTGTATGATTAACATTTAAGTAGGCAAAGTTAACAGGAACAATTCTAGTGTAGAACACTTTTCATACAAATGATTAATGTCTCAGAGACCTGGTGACTGGGATTTTGTGGAAACACTGTCATAAATAGACCAAATTCTATTTTTAACTTCAGAAACACAGTGTATCTAAGCTTTTATATTCAGGTATTTAAAGGAGGAGAAGTACTTGTATATTCTCATGTCAGAAAAATGAGAAATTTGCTGTGAAAGAAGTGGATACTTGACATTTCTATAAAAAGAAAAAAGCCCAGAATAAGCTTGGTATCATATATATTTTCATTATCTGCATATAAGATCATACTTGGAGCTTTTGTAGTTAAATTACAAACATTATTATGGCATTAAAAATATATACCTTTGGAGGTTAACTCATTTTCATTTTGTGGGGTGCTTGCTATTTTTACCCATCTTCAATCCGGCTGTAGCGTGACTGGTGCATATAAATACAAATAAATAGTGGCAGTGGCTCAGGAGTTAAAGCTATTTTTCTTCAAGGAGAGCAGAGGTACTGTAGAAGCTGCACAAAGCAGATTTTTCTGGCTGTTCTTTCTTGATTTTATTTTTTTGTAGAGCCAAATGTTTTCTCGAAGAGAGGAAGAAATTTGAGAAAGAAGCAAACTGGGAGTGGGAGAAATAAAGAAACATGGAAAGCATCTGGAAAAAATTATTTGCTATGAGATAACTAAGCAACAGGAAGTTTCCTGAAATAATTATTAAATACAGAATTTATTGCAATTTCCAAGCAGTCCAGAAACAAGCTCTTCAAAATGTCTTGGTTTTTACCCATTTGTCTTCATATCTTACAAACATTTTTTCACTGATTTTGCATGAGGGTTTATGTTTCAGCAATATTTACTCATGTTGTGTTTGTTATCTCTAGTCAAAGGGAGATTCCTACTTACCAAACAAAATGCAGTTGAGGTCTTGTTTCAATTACTGCATTAATTCTGGTATATGTATTGAATATACTATCCTGCAGATTAAAAGTACACTTTTTCAGTCTGTCATACTGTGAAAAATGTTCTTTTACTTTAATAAGAAGCTTCCTCTCTTTGGTCTTATGCATTGCATGAGATCAAAACCAGCTGTACAGTCTGACCAGAGGTTCACATGGTGCAGTATCTAAAGGCAACCAAAAGTGCAACCCCTGGCCATTTGCGATGCAGGGATTTCATGAGCCAAATACAATAATCTCTATCTAGGAATCCTCAGTTGACCCATCCTCCTTGAAATTCTCCTGTCTCCTCCTCAACTATATAAACTTATGGCATTGCAACACCCTGGGCAATGAGTTCCACAGATTAACTACACAAGAACTGCCACCTCTTCTCTATTTAGAACCTGATTTCTACCAGCTTCATGGCATGCCCTGTAGTACTTGTATTGGATGAGGGAGTGAACATCTGATCCTCTCTTCATATTCAGTGCTGCAGGATCATTTGGTATCAATTGTATCCCCCCCTCCTTAATTAGTCATCTTTCTAAACTGAAGACCTACAGATTATGGAATGTTAGAATCATAGAATCATCAAGGTTGGAAAAGACCTTCAAGATCAACAAGTCCAACCATCTGCCCTAGGTCCTCACCTTCTCGAGGTGCAGCGTCACCAAGGCCAAGTAGAGGGGCAGGATCACCTCCATCTTCCAGGTGGTCACACTATTCCTGATGCAGGCCAGGATGCTCCTTGGCCACCTGGGCACACTGCTGGCTCATGTTCAGCTGCCTGTCAATCAGCACCTGCAGGTC